CTAGCAACTTCTTTTTGCTACTCAATCATCTTTGACTTCTGTTTCAGGAGCAATGAGTCATTTCAGACTTTCGAAACTCACCTGGATTGTTACTTTCATACTTACATCTGTCAGGGTGTGGATTTTAAGGTTTGCTTAGCAATTTGCTGATAAATTATTTTGGGAGAGCAAAGTGTTGGCTTTTCCAAATTTAACACAAGTAACTATGAATCATCAAGAACATTTTATATATGATATCTGAGGTTAAACAAATTAGGGCTGGATTTTAAATGTTTTATCTGCGTCAGCATCAAATTATATATAAAAAGCGATATTTTTCAAATCAACTGGTGGATTTGTTTTTGCAGAATAAACAACTTCTTCTAGCAGTACCAAACTATTGTTTAATGAAGAATCCAAAATTTGAGAAATTATTATTGTTGAATTTTTAAAGTATAAAAAATATTTCTTGAATTGTCTCATTTTATATTTGTTTGGAATTAAATTACATGTAAAGTTAGTTCTTAATGCCACTTATTTTGAAATTAGATGGTATTTGTATTGGAATGAAATGATTAGTGTGTGAGTACCATTGCCCTCCAGTGGTTGGAACCAGAACTTCCCAATTGTCTAGGTCTAGGATACATTAACAGCTGCTAATGGATCTTCATCTTGAGCTCAACCGTTTGAGGGCCTGTGCTTTGGGATCAGGATGATCTAAGTTTTATCCCCACTGCCGCAGTGAAATATGGAGTGTCCATGAAGCTCAGGTTGGCCACAGATTCATATTCTGTTGTTAACAGTATTTCTCAATGGTGTCATGAGTGCACATTTTCTCTTTTTTTAAATAATATTTTATGTAATTGTCATAATTTTAATTATGTTAAAATAATGTGTTGCTATGAGATCCTCAGCAACTTCCTGAATTCAGCCATCTGCTGAAACCAGAACACCAGCTCCGTTACTACCACATGCACTTAATACAAAGAATGGGTATTTGCTTAAAACAATTTCTTTTAAAAATATTTCTTCCTGACTGTAATGCACTATGTGATGAATTGCATTAGAAATATACTTATGTTTAGCAAACAAATGCTAATGACAGCCTGCTATTAAAAAACAGAAGATAATGTTGCTACAGAAACAGAAGCCTTGGGCATCTTTCTCTTGCTAATTAATGGAAATAAAACCCTCATGCCCCTAGCCTATATCCTTGTGAGAGAAAGTGCAAGTACCCATATGCAAGTTCCAAGGCTTAAGACCTGCAGTTTGGAAAATAATGTACATCAGTGAATCATAGCTCGTCTTCTAAGGCTTTAATACCAATATAACTATTGCAATTAGGGAGTGTGAGATAGAGGTAGAGATATAGTACCAAAACTGTTATACCGGTACAACCATTCCCCTCTCTTCCCTCCACAAATTCCCCATGTGCCATTCTCCTATTCCCTTCTCTTTCAGGGACTTGCAATCTCTTCACCCTCTGCCTCATGCCAGGGGCTCTGTATCTCCTCCCATTGTCCCCTCCCCTATAGCAGGCTCCCGCATTCTCCCCCATGCCAGGAGTTCTGTGTGCGACTCCACTTGCCCCTACCCCTCCATGCTGGGCTCTTCAGTTTTGGGGGGGCCCGGGGCAAAATCAGAAACTCAGGCTCCCCCACCCTTGAAAAAAATATTAGCACTGAGGGGAAGCCTGTTGGCTGAGGAGTGGGGTTTGGAGTTGGCAGGTCACTCATCCAATATTAAACCAGACTGTCCGGCTTTTCTAGGGTTTATCCCTCGTCCAGTACTCAAGACAACACCAGATATAGTTTTTTCCAGTATAGGACAGGGGATGCCATTTTCAAGAGCACACCACTCTGCCCCTGCCCACATTATCTCACATGCAAGGTCACGCCAACGAGGGGAGAGGAGCAGCATGCTCTCCAAAATGGCACCCATTCATGTGGCGTGACCTTGCACACACACATCACATCGGTGGGGGTGAGGTCAGGTCTACAGAGGTGTGGGCTCACACCATTCCTGGAAGTACCAGAATATTCGGTATTCCAGGAACATGTGAGTGGCCACCTTAATTTGGAGAGTGAACCCACCTTGCTCCCCCACAGCAACAGCTCCTGCCCCATGGGGCTGAGCCTACCTCCCCGTTCCAAGAGTTGTGACCTCAAATTTGCCATTCACCCACATTTGGCCTGGCTGCCCTCCCTCCTTCCCCCACGCCCTCGTCATGATGGAGGGGAAGCCAGGCCAAACCTGAATGGCACTGTGACCCGACATACCAGGTCACAATGCCATCTGGTTGGGGGGACCTCTCAGACAGAAGGCCCAGGACAAACTTCTCCTTTTTCTCCCTCTCTGGGCAGCCCTGACTTCATACCAGGGGTTCTGGGTGCCCCCCCTTCCTCCCTCTGCCACATGCCAGGACTCTGGGTGCCCATCATTCCCCCATTCTCTCCATTTTCCCCTTTCATCCATGCCCCCTATACTAGGATCTTCCATTCTTCCCCCACCAGGGCTCTGTATATGCTCCTCATTTCCCCAAATTGAGGGGCTCTGTATATGCCCCTTTCCCTCCCATCCCCCTTTCCCCATGTCTCCAAACCGGTCCCCATTATCCCCCCAGCCAGGGGTTCTATTTGTCCTCTAGTCTCCCCTGCATGGTAGGGGCTCTGTGTGTCTCCCTTACCCCCACCACTACTATTTTTGTCTTTTCTTTCTCTTTCAGGGTGTCCCCCATTTTCCCCTTTCATTTGTTCTGATTTTCACCAAAATCAATAGGGTTCTGGCCATTAATGCCTAGCACATTCCCTGACATTTTGGAATGGATCCGTTACAGAGTTCAAAGGTTATAATGCTACAGACAAACAAACAAAGAAATGCCATTGAGATGATTGTTAGACCATGTCTACATTTCAAACTTGTGTTGACTCAAGTTACATCAGCATACAGCTGCTGCAGTTATTACATTGCTTATGTGCATGCATACTTGGCTTCTTGTGTCAGCAGTGTGCGTACTGACCAGGAGCGAATGTATTGACTGTGGTGCACCATGGGTAGGTATCCGACTGTGCAACTCGCCACTGTCCAGGTCACTGTCTTTTGGGAAGTTTTGGAAATGCATGATAGGGCCGAAACAAGTCGTGCAGGGGTGACTGGGAGCATGGGGTCAACTTCCCAGTTTGCAACTGTCTCCATCCCATAATGTCATCTATAGCCCATAATTTTTGCACCTTTTTTTCAAAATCCCATAAACCCATGTAGCCCTCCTTGCTGTCCCCGCCATTTCTGACCGAAACATGGAGCCTACACAGCTCTCCATTATTGTCGTGAGCATTACAAACACAGGGCACATGAACCTGCAGTATTTGCAGAATCGCAAGAAGAGCCGTGGGGAGCTCTTCTAATTGATTCCTAGGAGGACAGATTGCTGTGGGACACAGCAAGATCCAATTCAAGGTTGGTGGTGGCATTCATAGAGCAGCTGCAGATGGTGGAGTGCCACTTCAGGCCAAAGAAACAAGCACTGACTGGTGGGATCGTAACGCAGGTTTGGGAAGATGAGCCATGGCTGCAGAACTTTCCAATGTGCAAGGCCACATTCCTGGATCTGTGTGCCAAGCTTGTCCTAGCCCTCCAGTGCAGGGACACCAAAATGAGAGCTACACTGACAGTGGAGAAATGAGTGGCAATCGCACTGTGGAAAAGTGCAACACCAGATTGCTACTGGACAGTCGGGAATCAATTTGGAATCAGGAAATCCACCGCGGGGGCCACTGCCATACAAGTCTGCAGGGCCATTAATTGCCTCCTGCTATGCAGGACTGTGACTCTCGGCAAAGTGCAGGACATAGTGGATGGTTTTGAAGCTGTGGAGTTCCCTAACTACGGTGGAGCAATAGATGACACGCATATCCCTATTTTAGCACCAGATCACCTAGCCACAGAGTACATCAAAAGAAAGGGCTACTTTTCTATGGTAATGCAAGCGCTAGTGGATCACTGAGGATGCTTCACCAACATCAATGTGGGCAGACATGGGGAAGTGCATGACGCTCACATCTTTAAGAACCCAAAGCTATTCAGAAAGCTGCAAACAGGGACTTTCTTTCCCGACCAGCAAATTACCATTGGCAATGTTGAAATGCCAGTAGTGATCCTGGGCAACCCAGCCTATCCTTTGCTCCCCTGGCTCATGAAGCTGGACACCGGCCACATCAACAGCACCACGGAACAATTCAGCTACCCACTCAGCAGGTGCAGGATGACAGTTGAATATGCCTTTGGTCATTTAAAGGGACGCTGTCATTGTTTACTCACAAGATTGGACCTCAGTGTGAAAAATATCCAATGGTTATAGCTGCCTGCTGTGTGCTGCATAATATCTGTGAAGCAAAAGGGGAAAGTTTCTGCTGGGACAGAGGGTGAATCTGCTGAATTTGAGCAGCCTAATACAAGGGCTATTAGAAGAGCTCAATGTGGAGCTATAAGTCTCAGGGAGGCTTTGAAAGACCATTTTAATAGTGAGCCAGCGTAGTGTGTGTTGTAGTAGTGTGTTCTTCCTGGCCCTTCTCTTTTGAGGCCTGGTATGAGTCATATGATGATTGCTGTATATGTAGGACTACAACTATAGCATTATTAATGCACCTATTAATTTTGTTTGTGAATGAGCTTATGAGTTGTGTGATATTCTGGACTAACAGGTAACTGGTCACTTTCAGAACTGCTGAGCACCAGCCAGCTTGTGTTGTGAACTAACAAAGATGAATTATGTTCCAAATAATAGAATTTTATTCTGTAACAAAATCTATGCAAAAAAAAAACCCAGGCAATTAAAAAGCAAAACCATTTAAAACTTAATAAAACTTTATAAATTAAGAGAACAGAACTTATGAAGGGGAAAGAACATTCTCGTCCCTTTCAGCTACGCATACACCAACCGTGGCTTTCACAGGTCAGTGTATGTGAAGCTGTAATTGTCTTTAATGTCTCCCGGGGTGGAGTAGTAGAAATAGTGCACTGACCTCTGATGCCATGTGGAAGGTTGGGGGGCTATAGGGAGATCCTGATATTGTTTTCTCTGTGGGCTGCAAAGCAGGTGAGTCCTGCAGCATCTCTGTTTGTTGCCTGAGAAGCCCCGTTATGTCCTGGTGCATCTCCCTCTCCTTTTCCTGCCTGGACTGCTGAACCTTTCTCCTCTCCATTCTTTTCTTCTCCAGCATATCTGCAGTGTTCATCCTGCAAGCCCCATGCTCACTACCCGATGCAGCACTGGCTTGCAGGATCTCCTTGAACATGTCATCTTGCATCCTCGTCTTTCTCCTCCTTATCTGGCTCAGGCATTTCATGAGCGTGCAGGGGAGACCCTGGAGGCCATAATGGCAGCAGCTGCAGATAAAACACGCAGAGGTACCATTGTCAGTGTATTTACTATGGAAAGTGAAATTTAAGCTGCTGAACTCACTCCACTTGCTCCCCAAAAATGTTAAGGACTACGTTCTCACTTCTCGGTTGCATGATTCTAGTCGTATAGGGCAATGGAACTGAATACTGGTACCGTTTTCCACAGGCCGTGGTGATTTTAGCTGCTATCTATTCCTGAGGGTAACAAAGGCAGAAAGAGCACAGCACTCAGCTCCGTATGCTGCTAGCCTGTGTACTGCAATGGTGCCTGCTGAAGTTATCGCTGAGTGGTGTGGGAAAGTGTCCTACCGTGGTGGAAGAAACAAGGCAACCTTCCCAGAAACCTCCAGCAGAGGATTGCAGAGCACCTCCAGGAAAGTTTCATCGAGATCTCTCCAGAGGATTCATGGAACATCCCTGTGTACATAAACAAACTGTTCTGCATGCCCCACCCCACCTCAGCCTCCAAACCACGTACCTCTAGAGCAGAATGAAAAGCAGATAGCAACTCTACCTCTCTTGGTTGTACCACTCCCTCTTCTAGCACGAATAAATTAATGATTAGGCAAAAGATGTGTCCTGCTATCAGGGGGCATCCCTGTTATTTAAAATTTAACTACATGCTTATCTGAGATTCCTTCCCCTGCATCAGGCTCACCCATGCTTGACTGGCAGGACTGTGATGAAGTTGAGAACAGGTCCTGGCTCGCTGCGCAGCTAGATCTCCCTGCCGCCTATCCCCCATACCATACTCCTCCTCTTCCTTGTCCACAACCTCCTCCTCCTCACTGTTCATGGCAGGATGAACATGTCGTGGCTTGTTTGGATGTTCAGGCTTCTTAAAAGCACCAGGTGACTTTTAAAAATATGTTTATAATTAAAATGATTGACAGTGATTGAGCCAAATTTAAGTGAAGACACGTGCACAACTAGGTCTATGGAAGCTGCCTTGTGTTGACCTAATGTTGTAGTGTAGACCACGCCTTAGACGCATGTCTATTGTGCCCCAAACCCATAATCTCTGGGGCCTGGTTCTCAGACTGTTCCCCTTAACAACCTCTGCCCCTGTCTTTTTATATTGAGCCAGAGTTTTTTGTTCTCTCAGCCCACAGGTTTGGACTGGCTGCCCAAAGCCAGTCTGGAAAGCTTCACAGGGGGTCGGAGCCAGAGCATCAAAGTGAATGTTTCCTGCATTGTCTTCTCAAGTGTTTGGGGAAAAGTGTGTATCAGGAGCCTTTCCCCTTCAGGAGTGCATTTCCTGATAACCCTGCTAGTGAATTAACTCACACAATCACTGTCAATCATTTTAATTATAAACATATTTTTAAAAGTCACCTGGTGCTTTTAAGAAGCCTGAACATCCAAACAAGCCACGACATGTTCTTCCTGCGTAACCCTGCTCCTCTCGTCCATTCCCCACTCCCTTTCCATGCATTGTCTCCCCTGTGATGTTATGTGTTGAGCAGTAGGTTGTAAACTCTTCAGAACAAGGGCTGCGTTGTTTTTAACCTGCATCTAAAGTATCTAACACACTTGGGTGAGGTATAAATAAATAATAATGAGTCTTTCAAATATTTGTTAATTATTTTCAATGGGGTTTTTTTTCAGTTCCACAGGGGATCCACTTATGGGGCTAAAATAATACAAGATCTGCTTTCTCACTCTGCTTTAATTCCTGGGTGACAGAAATACTATGAAAAGACCAGCTCCTTCTTTACTTTGGCCCCATAAATGATTCTGTGAGGCTAAAAACACCAACACACTCACAGATACTGAGCCATTCAGGGTATTTGGATTCTCAGAGCCCTAGGGTGTTTTTCCTTTCTTTTCCTTTCTAAATGCCCACGTACCATGGTGATAGGTGCTTTGGAAATGCAGCTAGTACTATAGAAGTGCTGATAAGAATTCATGTCGGGTGCAATTTGTCTGAAGTTGATGGCTAGGATAATTTGGCCTAGTAAAATTTAAATTATTTTTAGCACCCAAAATTATGCTAGGCACTCCACAGGAGACAGATACAGCCAATCCCTGCCAAAAAGAATTTACCATCTCAATTTTTCGTATTATTCTCCAACCTTTTGTAAGAAAGGTAGGACATCGTTCTTTCTTCCTGCCAAAAGATTTTACAAGCTGTGTTCTAGCCCACAAAATGGAGCCATAAAAGTTCAGCCAGTCTTTATTCTGCATAAACCTGCTTTGTGTTCAGTGAGGACTAGAAACGATAACCCAGGGTGAGTCTGTGCTTATGGAGAGTGACCTCATAAGACTAGAACTTATACGATTGATCACAGAAATTGCAAAAACACTAAAGAAATTTCTAATAAATGTGTTCAAAGTGAAGTTTTTCTTATATAACCATGAGCTTGTTCTCATCTGTGCAAAGAAAAAAAAATCCCACTGAAAATGCCTGGTTAGATTCATAGCAGTTTTTGGTTTTATGAGTGGTGCTGACTTTGCTGATTTTCATAACAACCCCGAACAGTTTCTCAAGTGAAACAGATCATACAGGAAAATGTGGCTGGCAGCAGGTTTTGCTTGTAGGTTTTCAAAATACCAGACTAAGAAAACTAAAATTAACTCTTTATTTACTGGAGTTAGCATTTCCAGGTGCCAGACTTCAGCACTGACAAGGGTTAGGATGCTCAGGAGCTAGGAATCACAGCTGAAAAAGATCTTCCCATTGCTGCTTGTTTTGTTAAAATAACATTAAGAATCAATAGTTTATGCTCTGTCATGTATTTGAGTCATCTGTCATGTTTCAGCTTTAGATGAATGTATCTGTGAATTCTGAAATAGCACAAGAAGGAAGCTCTCTGTGGTTAAATTTTTCAGTTTAATTTAATTGCTAATCATCTCCAGCAAATAATTAAAATATATTATTATATTAGTACCAAGCAAATTTTACCCAATGAACCCAGAGGGAAATCCATCCATTGTAATGTTTGCCATTTTTGAGTAAATAAATCGACACAAATTACAGGTCCACCTACATGGAAACTCCAGAGCTGGTATTCTATGATGCCATAGATGTGCATTGTGCTTTGTGCTTTACAAAATGGATTAAGAGTAAGATCCAGTCCCAAATCCATGGTCCCAATCCTCCACGGGATCCATGCAATCAAACCCTTGCACCCATACAGAGTCCTACTGGGGTCATGGGTATGTCTACACAGGCCATTAAAGGAAGTTTCCCAGCCTGAGTTCACAGACTTGCGCTTGCAGGGCTTGCGCTAGCACTTCAAAAATAGCTATATAGACAGCTCTTTGACATTGCAGCTCGGGCTGGAGCTCAGATTTTCAAGCCAACGCCCACACACACTTCCCTAGGCTTCAGAGCCCAAGTTTCTGCACAAGCCACAACTTCAAAGTGCTGTCTACACAGCTATTTTAGAGTCACCCTGGGCTGGGAGGTTTGCGTCCACAAGATGTGTACATATACCCAATGGGACTGTGTACATGTGAAGGGATATGCCCATATGGATCCAGTTATAGGTTTGCAACCTAAGCTAAGAGAAGAAGTATGGAAGGAGATGAAAACACATGGAGAAAAGGGAGGGAAGGATGAGGCTGAAGACAAAATGATTGTCTGGTTATTAAAAAGATTAGGAGTGTAGTCAATTCTCATTATATTTTTTCAAAGCCCTAGCTCCTAGAGTCATGTGATTGTGTGAGACCCTTAGCTCTTTTTTTTTAAAGTAAATTTCTAGCCCTCATGGCTGCAGGAAAAAACCTTGAAAAATATGAGCCTTAAAGGCTCAAACACCATGAGGCAAATACAAAGATCCCAACATTTAGTTTTAGAATCTCATAATTTGTAAGTCACTCATGGTTTTGGGTGTCTGACTCATGAGTTTTGAATGGTTGGGGTAGGCATGAGTTAGTGGCATACATCTAGATGGTTGCACTTTTCTCCATCACTAGATACATATGATTATAATTTATCATTTGAGACTTCCTTAAGAAATGGGTTTTGAGAAGGGGCTTAAAGGAGAAGAGTGAGGAGGTGAAGTCAGCCAAGAAAGGTTTTCCAGGCACGGGGGCTGCATGAAAGAACACATTATGTTAGTCTCTAGAATTCACTTGGAAATGCTGATAGACAGCTGTATAATTGCAACATGTTTTAAGTTGTCTGTATAGCTTGACCACTTTTTGTAAGTTTATGCATAATAGGATAGGCCTGATTGAGGGTCCAAGATATCCAATAGCCATGCCCCTGTGAGAGTCCAGCTGCTTGTGTTGCTACCACCACCCCCATGTCCAGTTGCATTTATGGGATAGCATGCTGAATCCCAAAGCCCCCTTAATGCACATAGAGAGAGAAGTATGTTTATCATGGTGCTCACAGAAATCACTGATTCTGCAATGGTTTTCCATGAGCACCAAGATTATGTTTTTAATTTCATTGGGTTTAAAGTAGTATGCCTATCTGTCCTTCCTGAAAGAGGGTGTGAATACCCTAGTCCAGTTGGCCTGGCCCACAACCCAAATATTCACAGTGTAAGCTCCATATATACGCTCATTCTTCTCAAAGACTGTACTGGTCTTTGAAAGTGTGACCATTCACTTTTCTAACTAAAGATACTCAAACATAATAAATTTCAGTGTCTGAGGTAATGAACTATTTAATCCTCCCCTCTCGCTAGGATATTTGTGATCACAGATTTACTCATATGCCATTCACTAACAGAAGCAATTGACAAGGATTGTGACAACTGGCATATATTAACCCAGCTGAAGAACACAAGCCCCCAGTCCAGAGAAGAAGTGTATTATTATTATGTAATTATTTCAACACCAACAATATGTCCAGCCCTGTACAAGACACAAAATGAAGTCACCTGCTCTGAAGAGTTTGCATTCTAGAAAATAGATACAGAGAAGACCGGATGCACTGGGCAGCACACAGGAAAGAATAAGCTGGAAGGAGGGAAGGAGGGAGGTAGTTTGGGCATCGTGCATTGCTACTCTACTCAGCGCTGGTGAGG